GCCCAATCATCTGACAGCCATTTCCGAACAGGGGTAGAATACTGCACACGGAAGTCGGATGGTTTTATTTTGGATAACGTCTTGGTCTTCTTGGATCTTCTAGGATTTTAGATTGTGGAAACCAATGAACTGACATCTATGAGAACAGCTGGAAAATATAAAATTGTGTCGTTGTTCCTCACACGCTGAAATCCAGGTTGAATTCTAGGCACTATTTCAAAGATAATTAGCAATGCATAAAGGACCTAAGTTGAACAAACATGCCTTGAGCAAATTCGTGCAACATGAGCCTCCATCGCGAAATATGTTTCGGCTTATAATGCCATACATTCCTATACTTATCTACGGGAAGGGAGGATTTATTCCTAACTTTATATCCCACTGCAGTGTTGTCCTTTCTTTAATGTCACCATTTAAATAGACGCTAAATCTCATCAAGTATTTAGAAAGTTGAAGCACGAATTATAGAATATTTGGTCCACAGCGACTTCGAAGTTCAATCTCTTCAATGGATTGTTATTGTTCCATGCTAGTCTTAATTTTAAATAATGTAAGTTGTCTAGAATCATATATGTTTGTAGACGGTGCATGGTGAATAGATCAAGAAAACGCTAATCTGAAGTGAATTGAAGAGAATTATGTGGTTAACAATAACTCACGTCAAATCTCCCATCCTGAATAAAGTAAAAATATAATTATTTCTAGAAACGAGAAGAAATAAGCTTTACTACTCCACCTTGAGTTGTACGGTTCTTCTACTAAGTGATTTGTGGTCTTATCATGCCCAAATCAGAATAAAAATCCAAGTGGTTCTGGTGTGCAAGCATTGTGGTAGCCTATTTGAGAAGCGCAAACATATGACGTCTCAGTTCTTGGCTTGGTAACGCACTACTTTTTTAGCGTAAGTCCACTTTATTACATATTCATTTGTTGGCGGCATCTTGAAATATACATGTCACTCAAAGGTAACTAAGCACGCGTTAACTAGTCTCTTTCAAACTGTTCCGCTTCGACTGATACCACGCAACCAATTGAACGATTGTGTATTGATCACCATGCAGTCCTTTTAGTATTTTTCAGCATCTTTTCCGTCATAAAGGAACCCGGGGCAAGGGATCATCGTGAAGCAACACAATTCTACACATTGATGTACTCATACAAACTGCCAAAAATAACGTGTGGGAAATATTTTTATAAAGTTGGCACCTACAGAAACACCATCCTGCCCAAAATGGTGGAGAAATCTCATCTGAAGTACCAACTCGGCTACACAGAATTTGGTCAAAGCAAGTAAAGATATTAATGGAACACCCCTCGGTGAACGAAAGATTTTAAAAACTCACAGTATGCATGCTGAAAATATGAAGGATTTGAAATACACAAAACAGTGTTTCAAACTGTGCACTGTTTTATAAACCAGGTATCGAGTTCGAAGCAATTCACTTTTTCCGATGCGATTCCACTATTATATAACGCAAGATGTGATATCGTAGAAGAGGCATCATTGTTTTATTCGAATAAGTTAGGAAAGATTAACGAATTAACCCAAAATGCAACTCAGCGTTTTCTGGTGCAAAGGCAGTCTTGGATAGGCATTATGCTGAGAGTAGACTGAATCATCAGCAAGTAGAATATGTCAGGGAACGGTCAGACAGAATTTGTGGTCTTTGAGCAGGCTTGGAGAAAACACCTTGGTTGGTGATGAAATGTTCACAAAGGAATTGCTTAAGGTAGGTGAATGTACGCATTTCATTCGGGGTATCTGATTGATTATGAATTGCTATCGGCGTGTCAACTTTAATACTCTCTAACACGACAAGTTTTTAATCAGACCATACAAATCGGTCGAATGTCCAGCAACCATGCACTTCCTTAGCAATGCGAGGGGAACACCAACAGAAATTGAATTTACGATCTCGAATTTTGTAAAGAGTAACTAAATTGAATTATGCCATGGGTTTGGCGATAAATTTGCAATTATATTTCGGTTTCATGGCCATTCTTTTGGAATGATTTACATTGAGTTGCTTGCCTTGATAAAACAGCAAACTTTAGATGTGGAATTGAAATGACCTTTTGGTTAGGCTGTGATCCTTACTTGCTTTTCACCTATGATATTCACATTTCAACCCAAGCCCATATGCAAGTAGTGATGTGAAACCTACTTCTTCACATTCTAAAGAAGTCGAAATGAATGTCTTGCGCCAATTCCATCACAATGTTCCCTTTCTTCTCATGTACCTTGATCAGCTTGATGATCTAATAGGAGCAACTTCCAGTGAATCGGTAAGTTAATTCCAACGGTACGGCCAGAAACCAGTTTGACCTCTAGTGGCCAAAAACGTATCCCAGCCACAACGTGACACTTTTGGCACCGATAAACCAATCAACTCATTCCTATTGTATGAAGCTTACAACCTGCGTTCCACATGTTGATTCTGTAATACTAATTGCTATGTGTGCGGATAATTTTGCCACATGCGGAGAGGGTCCAACCAACTGCAGTGCAACATTACATGGCCGCCGTCCCAACAGACCACAAATCCTGTGGTTTTATTACTAACCCAGGGTCAATATGCCCAGTTCCTATATATAAATGTGGCTCCACGGTCTGGCGTGCGGCGTAAATTTAGGGTANCAAAAACGTATCCCAGCCACAACGTGACACTTTTGGCTCGGATTCGGCGTGGACCCATTGTCGCACGCCGTAGCCCTGCGTGCCGTATTGAATCTTGCGCGCCCAACCTTGGATTATGCCGCACATTTGAATTTACTGCTTGATGGCTTCAGGGAAAGCCTACCAGAGGACTTGCGGGAGAAGCCATGGATAATTAATGCTGAGAAAACCATGGATGCATTCAATTTGGCGGATGTCCTGAGGGAATTCATCTGGAAGAAAGTTAAACCCGTCTAGTCAACCGTTGTGGTTGGGATGCGTATTTGGCCGCTAGAGGTCAAACTGGTTCCTGGCCGTACCGTTGGAATTAAGTTACCGATTCACTGTACCGATTACCGATTACCGATTCACCAGTATATAGATGTATATTTCACTGGGGTAAACTACTTCGAGATAGTTTAACTATCATGACGGTCGTTTGTAACGCATTCCTGGTGTGCTTTCCTGTAAAATCTACGGGTAATTTCATATCACAACGGTACAACATTTTTATTCCGTATCTTTTACGGGAACGAAAGCACCACAAAATTACCAGTCCTCATCTGCAATAAAATACTTTTACAAAAGCATGCTTGGCCCAAATTCCAATCGAATGGGTTTGATCTTCCAGTTTGAAAACACCAAAGCAAAAACTGTCCACCGAACGCTACAGCAGTATAAATATCTTTTTGACACATTGTTAGAAGATTAACAACCTTGACTTAAAAGCACAGGTGTGAGAACAACACACACCTAAAAAAGGCAGTTCGTTCAATAAGTGCTCATTCCGTTATTCTGTTTAATCGTGCTATTGATATATCCCTATTGCATTTCCGTACCCGGATTGCCCAGCCGTTGTAGGTATAATGAGTGGTTTGCATATTGTCTCCTTCTTCCAGTAGGCATAGGTCACCGACTTCATGTTGCATGGCATGCAATTCTGCGTGCAGTCTAAATCTGACGAATGCCCAACCATTGATCGGGGGGAAGTGATGTTTCTCGGAGTTCATTTACGGCCATATTCGAAACAAGCAAATTGAAATAGGTCATGGCTATTCATGTAATCTATCTCTGATATGCTGACTAGCACCCTGTGAAAATCAACTGGGGTTAACTGCGATCGAATTCGCGTTTCACAAGAGACATTCCTCCGGACAAAATGAGCTAAACATAACTTCCGAAGGGGCTCAACCCCGGTGCACGTATTCTTCACAAATCCTTTAGCCACAATCCGTGGCACACAGAAACGAATGACTAAGTGTAAGGACACACGATAATTCAATGGAATTGTGTAAATATGACTATATCGGGAACTGTATAGTAGTTGTAAACTAAAGCAAATGTCATCATTTGTGCAATGGTATGTTCTCTGCCTCCGGCAATGTTAGTATTTAATATACATTGAACGCAAGTACGTGTGCGACAGAGAGTGTGTCAAAAACTGACAAACCTCTTCAGGCTTTCATTTTAGCTTGGTGAAAATTCAGATAAAAACCTTGTCTCTGCTGAACCGTGTGAGATTACGGTCCACTGCGAGTGAATATTGATTAATACGGAAAGTGTAGAGTTCAAGGTTGACACGCAAAGAGGGTAACCATTCCAACACATGCAAAACCGACCATTCATGGCACAGTTCGAGATGGAGCCGAAAAAGGTTTGATATCTCAAATGATAAACCGGGTTTATATAGAAAAAAATCATTCAGACTCCGCTTGTAAGTAATTCAAGAAATGTGCTTTTAAGTCAAGGTTGTTAATCTTCTAACGATGTGTCAAAAAGATATTTATACTGCTGTAGCGTTCGGTGGACAGTTTTTGCTTTGGTGTTTTCAAACTGGAAGATCAAACCCATTCGATTGGAATTTGGGCCAAGCATGCTTTTGTAAAAGTATTTTATTGCAGATGAGGACTGGTAATTTTGTGGTGCTTTCGTTCCCGTAAAAGATACGGAATAAAAATGTTGTACCGTTGTGATATGAAATTACCCGTAGATTTTACAGGAAAGCACACCAGGAATGCGTTACAAACGACCGTCATGATAGTTAAACTATCTCGAAGTAGTTTACCCCAAATGTAATATAGATATCTTTTAGCATTTTAATTCCTTTTTTTGCGTTTATTGATTAAAGAGTTGTACACTAAACTTTCACTAGACGGGACAGCTGCCTGAGGAAATAAAAAAATGGGAGATTTGGTAATGGCACATATATTTTGCTCAATTTGATTTAAACTTGTAATTAAATAGCATAAGAAAACTTTCTCCTTAAATTCAGGTACTAATAATTCAAATTGTACAATAATGTTTTTATCATTTTGAGCTATTTAGCAGTAATTTGTATTATATGATGATGCCTTGTTAATGACGTAACTTTATGTAATCCGATAACGTTTATCACTCAGTCCCAGTGCCATCCATCCCTCCAGTCACTGACTTGTTCCGCTATTTGCAGGATTCTCGTACATTGTTCGAAGAAACAATAATGAACTGTTGCAAAACACAATTCTCATTGCTATTTTGTCTGAGCACAACTCTGCTGTTACTTCTCACCACAGTCGTAGTTGAGGCCGAGGATGCGGTGGATTCAAAGGTGGCTGTTGAGAAACTGATCAAAGAGTTGGTACGTCAGAAGAAAATGCAAAAGCACTTCGGTTTATCACACTGCACTAACACCTCCTTCCCCACTTCCAGATGGAAAAACAAATTTGTCGACTGTTTCGAACCAAAGGATTGGCGATGATAAAGAGTCAACCCCAACTGATGGAAGTGTCAATAAAAAATGTATCAGAAAACGTGGACAACTATAAAGCCAAAGTAAGTAATGGTTTGAGATTGTAAAGTACATCCGTACGTTTATCTTCGGATTAATACCTTAACCAAACTTTAATGATAATAAATCAGGGATACTGGTTTTCTTTTGCCATACGGGATACACATACCGAACGTTTATTCTGGATAAGCGTTCGAGGAGCAAACAGACCATTATAGCAAGGTTACCAGAGCTTGTAGACAGATTAGCCCCCTTCGAATTAAAGCTGATGACCAGTTGCTTCCTACGATTGCCTAATTCCTTGAATAGTCGTAACACTAAGAAAATATGGCAGTGAACAAAGCTCTTTTGAGAAAAGTTCTTCTTCGAGCAATTACAATTTTTTAAATAGTGCAAAATTATCAAATTCATTTATTGGTTTGATATGATCAATATGAATGAATGGTTATAATATTGTAGATGCCGTTCGGAAATGAAGGTACAAAGTTTTAGTTATTGATTTTGTTACCAGCTTATGCTTCATTCAAGCTAAAATAAAATGGATAATCGTAATTACAGGAAACATTCAGAAGGGGTCAGGATAAATGTTAAACTTCCAACCAGCTAGTGGGCAAGCCTGGACTAAATAAAGTGGGCGTGACCACAACAACTGAAAGTCACTTAAAAGACCGTCTGATTGCTTCCTTTTCACCACTAACCGTCTATGAAAACCGAAAATAGAAACCGACTCGATTATTGGAAACGCAACTATCATAATAGAGTGACAATTTTACGACAGGCGATGGGCTCAAAAACGCAGTATGTGAATAGTCACTTGGTTTGAAATTTTCCAAGTTTTAATGTGCACATTTCATAATAAATCGGAATAAAACTGTCAAAACTGGGGGACAAGTACTTAAATTAGCATAAAACTGTGAACGGTAGACGTAAGCTATGTGTTTCTTTGTATCCCAAGCTAAATTCTCCCCGTCGTGGATGATGACTCACTGTAGTCGAGTGTTATTGGTAGATTGAATTTCCTTTAAAATATGCTCATTACTATGAATGAGGGGAAAACTGCTTCGAAGACACCTAATTCCATTCTTCAAATCTGCATCTAGAACCAAATATGTACCACAAATGCCTCGACCTTCGAACAAACATGCATACATGTACGCTTACATTTTGTTCAAATCTCACCACCGCAGGAGTTATCGTTTCTTAAAACAATTGAAAACACGTCCTGACCACTAAATATACCGTATTTTTACCAGATCAAAACCGGCCCAGGTGTTTGCTTCTATTTTGAAGCACCCCACGTGGATTCTGGAGAAAGACAACTACAGGATCTCCAAACATACGCATGCGAAAATTTATTGCCCATTGAAGTAATCAAAGAAGGTCAATAAGGCATATCGGCACTAGTGACGAATGAGTTACGTTCCGGAAAATCAAATATGTGTGTGCGCTTGCATTATGAAGGTACTTTCTTTCATGCATTGCTATAACCTTCTTGTTGATACGTGTAGAATCTATACAGTTTAAGATTTTACAACTTTTTCCGGTGACTCATCCACTGGCTAATACGTCATATTTTATATCACATCATTTTGTACGGAAAAGAGGAAACAAAACTAATGATTATTTAAATGGGAATTGTTGTTTTTACTTTCTGCTCTCCCAAATTTCACAAAACCGGATATGGCTGATCTTGCCCTTGGAACGTAAGCTTAGTCTATGTTAATTGTGTGATTTTGGGGTGGGAGTGGGATTGGGAGGTAGAGGAGGATGAGGAGGATGGGAGGTGGAGGGCCGCGGTCGGTTGAGTGACTTCTCAAACTACTTTGGGAGCACAAGGGGGCATTATGTAGACGAATTCCAAGGGCCTCTGCGGTGGCTAGGATGCGATTTTAAATTGGCTTTGATCTGCGACCTCGAACACAGTAGACAGGCCGAAATGCTTCCGTCACACTTACTGTGTGATCGGACTTGACGAGATGTGAAACGATAGCACTTGTAATAGTTTTAATCACACCAGTGTTCAGCCAGGCCGGATGATGATCCCGAACTCGTGTAAATAGGCAGCTGCTCCTGCTGTTGCTCGTGAATAAAACCACCTGTGGGACGCTTTCGCCAGATATCGAGAAAACCGATCCTCTTATTAACTTCTTCTTCCAATGTGAACTTGATGTTTGGCTGAGCAGAATTAAATAAGCTAAGCAGGTTGGAATCCTTGACGTTACTGTCTACAAAACATAATATGTCATCGATAAATTGTCTTTACAGCTTACATCGCTTAATCGGAGACTTCAAAACAATATTGTCTAGCTTGGACATGAATAAATCCTCAAATAGGGGACCGAGCGGGGATTCTTTACGACTCCATTCTTTTGGCGATAGATTTGTTCATTGAACTAGAACTGAACGTTTTGTGTGCAGAAGTACAATAGCTGTTTCAAGTCATCCAGAGGTATTGCCATTTCGATATTCTTTTTCTTGGATTTGGTCACATAAATATTCAATGGTCTCTGCGATAGGAACACTAGTGAAAATGTTGCTAAAGTCCATGGATATCATTCGTTGACCATCCACATTTACGTTTCTGATTACATCTTTCTAAACGAAAGAATCCGGTAAAGTGTAGGTTGTAAGGGTGGCTCTCACTGGATCCAATATTGTCACTAGCCATTTGGCTATTGCATGATAGGGGGAATTACACATGTCTAAAGTTGACCATCATTTTGTATTTTGGGTAAACTTTGGGATTGTTGTTACAATTGGTCGGATTAGTTTGAACGTGTTTCCATCTATGACACCCTTTTGCTTTAGAATTCCGATTATCTTTGACAGTTTCTGCTCTATCTGTTCCGTTTTATCCTTTTCTCCGGACATTTTCTCGAACTTTGTGCTATCACTGAGTATGTTATTCATCTTGGAAATGTGGTCTGATCTGTTCAGTATGACAACTTTTGTACCCTTGTCTGGTATGCAGAGAATTACATCACGATTATTCCTTAATCCTTTTAGACGTTCTCGGTGTTGTGATGTCACTAAATCTTTGATCATCGGTTTGCTACCGAGAAGATAATAGCATGTGTTCACTAGTGTGGATTTCAGCTGAGCCACATTTTACGATGATGAAGGCGATGAATCTGACGGTTGTGAGAAAAGGTTTTCGAACTCTACTTCTAGATCCAGTTGTTTAATTCTTCCAATTTGACAACAAAACTGAGGTCCTAGTGATCGAACTTTGAGCAACAATTTGTCTAACTTTATAGGTAAAAAATTGTGCACATATCTTTCACGATTGGTTGAGAACTCCATGATGAGGTTCGCAGGATCTAATCGCTTTCGTACAATGTTGCACTTTCTTTCGATTTGTTTCCTCGTCACGAATGGCTCGAAACGATCACGTTCCTCGTACAACAGTGAAACCAGAACATGAGTGTATTTGGCTAAGTTTCTACGTAGTTCCTCGATATGTCCGACTATTGTGTCCTTTTCATTCAGAGTTTGGCGTATCCGGGTTTGGTGTGTGACACAGATTCGGTTCCTTCTCAGAGTCTTAAAATACAGTTAGGGGAACTGGGATTTTTTCATACATTCCTTGATGAGCTCAACACAAGTTTCCGCCACTGCCAATTTCGTACGAAGCTCAACATCTTTGTTAACGATCATTCATTCGTGATATTCTCCTGGCTGTCTAGAACATCTTGTGGGTAACGTCTTGTGCGGTGTGTTTGCATACATCAACTAGCATTTCATATTCAACAATAACTTCAAACGATAGGGAGACTACAATACCGATGATAATGTTCCTCAATTTGGAGCATGTCACTGATCAATATTCAAACAGACGTCGGTCAAAGACTTACCTACCCGTATGAAGCACCCGGTGAAATGTTGTTATTCAGTGTAGAAACATGGATAAATTAAAGACATTCTTATCATCACAGTTAGCATGCACTAAACCATAAGGATTGCACAGATGTAATCAGGCCGTGAAAAGATAAGACGATGATGAGAAATGATGCAACAGGGAGAAAAATTATCCAATGGAGCTGAGAAACAACGGAAGAAGTTGTGGGTAACAGGTGGTCGCCAATGGCTTGGTGGAGTGAATGCCATGGTAAAAACAGGAATTACAAAGGAGCAATGTAATATTTCTCAGTCAGTGAACCAGTATAAATATGCTCTGGAAATATTTCATCTGAAGATGAAATATTGTTAAATCTATCACTGCACTCTTGTGCCTTTCAATGCTGGGGACATGTTGGCAATCGCACTTGGCTCAGAAAAACAATTGTGTTCGATGGAATTTGGCCTTAATTGATTTACACAGTTGGCAATTTAGGACCGAGATTAAATCCACTTATGCAACGATTCATTCCAAAATTCATCCTTGAGCATGGTGATCAATTTATCAATCAATATTTATTAGACTGAATTATGGAAACAGCCCTATGCTCGTGCGAGGACAGTGGCACCGAACTACTTCCAGGTGGTAGGCTTTCCGATCTAGAGTATGCAGACGACATTGTGCTGCTGAGCGAAAATCCAGTAAGTTACAAGCTTTTCTGGATAGCTTGAGTGCTAGTATAACCATGTTCGGTATGCGGTTTGCACTTTCAAAGTGTACACATTTACTACAAGACCGGATTGGCCCAGCACCCAGACTCACTCTAACTGGGGAAGTAATAGAACTAGTGGATAAGTTTTGGTATTTGAGCAGCTGCATCTCACCCGGTGGACGCATCACGGATGAAGTGTTGGCATCCATGCAGAAGGCTCGGTTTGTATTTGTCAGCTTGAGACATCTGTGGCACCATCGCAAAATCCGGCTGTCTGTGAAGGGTCGAATATATACTGCTGCAGTCCAGCCAGTGCTGCTTTATGGTGCAGAGACCTGGCCGTTACGGAGAAAGGATGAACATAATTTGTCGGTGTTTGAACACCGCTGTCTAGGCAGCATAGCACGAATCTGATGGGGCACCCGGACGAGCAATGCTGAGGCTAGTCGCAGAGTTTTGGGCAACTACGGTCGCCCACTGTAGAAAGTGGTCTACCTCCATAGATTACGCTGTTTGGTGCATGTGTTACACATGTAACCAGGTGGTAGGTGGCGGTTGGAAAATATCAAGAGTGGTAAAACAAAGACTTGGCATGAGGTTATGGAAGCCCCAACCAGCAGCCTGGGTCAGATAGATCCCGCTAAGCTCCCTTGATGGATACCTCAGGATGGTTGTCACCGATGACTAGATACACTGAGTGTCGTAACCAGTGACGTCCGTGCATTTTCTCAATTTATCTGCAACATTAGTCCATTGAACTTTTAAATTTTCTTTTATTCCTACTTTCAACTTTTTCTGTCTTGCTCTTATTGCTTGTCTAAATGGGACCCAAAAGACAGTAAGCGAAACCGCAGCACGATAGTGCGCGATGGTGCAACAGATGTCTCAAGTTGACAAATACAAACCGAGCCTTCTGCATGGATGCCAACACTTCATCCGTGATGCGTCCACCGGGAGAGATGCAGCTGCTTAAATACCAAAACTTATCCACTTGCTCTATTACTTCCCCAGTTAGAGCCAGTCTGGGTGCCGGGCCAATCCGGTCTTGTAGTAAATGTGTACACTTTGAAAGTGCAAACCGCATACCGAACATGGTTACACTAACACTCAAAACGAACCTAATTGGGACCAAGTAAGCCAAGATGCGTAACCCCACTTAACGAAAATATTCTGAATCTTTCGAATTTGCCGTGTCAAAAACGATGATCAGTGTAAACATCCAACGTGTTCTGCCGGGAGTTACTAGTGAAAACAACTTGATCTCACTAAAACAAGGGCATAGACATGTCGAGGAAAAACGAACCGGTCACGAGTGAAACGTTAGAGCGATGATAGAGACAGTCGAAATTGCAAAATGGTTTGAAATGAAGTGAATGATTGACCAATGTAGAGAGAGGATAGCAACAGGTATACACCAGAAATATTTCCGTTGCATTCTCCCATGAAATCAGCGCTCCGTTGGCATAATAGCATTTCTCTAACCTAGGTATTGGGCCGTGCATTATATAGTGTCGGATAGTTTTACACAAAATCACAGTGGCTTAACGTTCAATTCTCATTTTTCATTAGATTTGATGAGTTTTGAAATCAGCATTTTCCCATGGTTCTACACGGTAAAAATGTTTTCTCGTTTTCTGGCCCAAAATTTTCAATTCCTCGTTGCAGACTGATATGTGAGAACTCAAAACAAAAGCTCTCCTTCGTTCACGTTGCGCGCATAGGCGACCTTCCGTTGGTAAAATGCTGTGAAGTACCATGAGAAAAAATGTCTAAATTCGGAGATGATTTTTATCATAAATGTGGGTAAAATTGTTGGCAAAATGGTTACTTTTTTCAAA